CGTGGATTCGATCTTACGACTGCTGGTCTTCTGACCCTGCAGCACAGGCTTCTGCAGTTTAGCCCACAGCGCCACCACGTCCCTCCCCCATATCCACTGGGGATTGGTTCCAAGCCCCCCTCCCCATGGATACCGAAAACCATGGATAATAGTGAACACCCCCATATATATAGTGTTCACTATTATCCATGGTTTTCAGTATCCATGGGGAGGGGGGCTTGGAACCAATCCCCAGTGGATATGGGGATCCTACTGTATAGCAAACAATGACCAGAAACATAATACCCTGGCTTACTGTATAAAGATCAACTTCTCCCTACCAATTCTAGTCTGATCTTTAAGGAAACCAACTCCAGTTTAAAAAGAGTGTTTTAAAGTGATAGATCCTGCATACTCAAAGGTGTTCATAGTTTCCCCCTCAGAAACAGATTGTAGGATTACATGTGACAAGTTACATAAACTTAATGTGAACATCAATATGATTCTAGCCTATTCACAGGCTGATTCACTTTTTGTCCATTGACCACATGACACAAAAGGGAATGTGAATCAGCTCAGAATGCCCCATGCCTCTACAGCTTTTGCCTCTGCCACTGGGGCTGGTACTATTTTTTTAAAAAAATATCCATTTGCATCAATTCGGGCAATGTGATCACTTGACCTGTTGCAGGGGGGCTGCCACTCAAGCACACAGACAGGAACAACTTAGAAAAGCTTGCAATTGGAAGAATTCTCTCTTTTTTAGAACAGCTTGGTGCCAAATAACAAGAGGAGGAAATGTATGAAATCATTGTTTACAGCTTGTTAGGTTGTTCCCTTAACCTTGCTTCCTACAGGGCTTAACCACAGCTACAAACAAGGCTTCCCTCCTCTTAATTAGAAGAGATTTGAATTTCCACAGTTAGACTTCACAGAGAGTGAAGGGCAAATTTGTAAGATTGTTAAACAGCAGGTAATCAGGATAGTTTGGAAGCAGGGGCAATCTTTTGTACATAAGTATTGTGTTTTATGTCAGACACCACACAAAGGTTGCTCATCTGTCCCAGGAGATGAAATTTTGACTCCCTGGGACTATTGCTGGGAGCCAGTTGTGAATCAGTAAATTAAAAAGAGACTGAGACTAAGGAGACTATAAGGGTGAACAAGAGGAAAAGCGAATGAAGGGTTCCAGTCCAGTGGAAGGGAAACAGACTTTCCAAACTCATGTAGCTGTTCTTCTCTCCCCAAAGCTCAAAACAGGGGTGGCAGCAGGGAAGGAGTAAAATAATGGATGCAAGTTTTCTACTTTTTTCCTGATGAAGCTTTATTGTAGTTACTTAACCTCACTGCAGCTCTAAACAATTTTTAGAAAGGAAATATTACACTCGTCAGAACAGTCATCTTTATTTCCTGCTCCAAGCTTATAATTTCCCCTAATAAGTATCATTAATGGTGTGAATAAACTGTTGCTTACAAAAAGAAACACACACACACAGCAAC